TATAAGATACTTTTATGTTGCAGTAAAACCGAAGTGTCACAGCTTGTTATGTACTTTTCAGATCAAATTGAGTGAAGTTGTTGGAACAGGGAAGGATAACAGAATTCTTAAAGAAGATATACTCAATTATTTGGCCAAACAAACAGGAGCTATTTTGCCTCCATCACCGAAGGCTGAAATTGTCCCCCCTGTGCGGAAAGCAGAGGCTGTGCCAGCTGCTCCAAAGGACAAAACACGTAAAATCCCTGTACCTGTTTCCAGACCCATTGCATTTTCAGGAAAAGATAAAACTGAACCTGTAACAGGTAAATCATGAAATATAAAGTCTTGAGACCATGGTCACAGTAGACTACCAGTAACTGTTGCACTGTGAACAGCTGATTCCTTTTGATGGGAGTGTGTTTCATGTTATTCTTATGCAAGTGAGTATTTAGGAAAACATTATCTGTAAGAAACATCTCTGCTGAAATTATTTTATGAAATATTGGTTCATGTTTTGGTTGGATGGAGTTGGGCTGCAAATTGCACTTGCTCATTTTTCAGGTGTATGTTGAAACAGGTAGGAAATCTAAACACAGATTTGTCATGGTAGGAATCGTTGTGCAATTAGTGGCAAAGGGCAGTGAATTAAAGGGTTTATCATGCCTAATAATAGAATACTGCACTATTATGTGAGTAGCATTCACACTTGTTCTGGAGAACAGTGCCATAAAAGACACTAAGGTAAAAAAAAATCACATTAAAAGGAGAAGATGAAAGTTTTTTGCTTGCCTTTCGAGCAGTGTTTTTCTGGGAAGCATAATGCAGATTATCATATTTTGATCTCAAATTCATACATATATAGGAGAGAGATGCAGTAATACAATCTGAAGTATTACAGACATCAAAATTTAATTCTATGAGCTGAATAACTCAGTAAGTGTTCTTTACCCTGTTCTTCTTTGATTATGGTTTGGCTTTGGTTTGATTTTTTTAAATTTGTGTAATTTGGTTAATGGAAACAGATGAAATTTCACCACAGCTTCACAGAAGCTTATTTTGTTGGTTTAAGAAGACAATGAATATTTTCCAGGTTTTCAGAAGGCCATGGTAAAGACTATGAGTGCAGCCCTGAAGATTCCCCACTTTGGTTATTCTGATGAGATTGATTTGACTCAACTTGTTCAGCTGCGAGAAGAGTTGAAACCTCTAGCTGAAATCCGTGGAGTTAAGCTTTCCTTTATGCCCTTCTTCATAAAGGTAAGGCATGCAGCAGAGCTCTATATGGAGTACTTACACAGGTTTTGCCAAAATGTGTTCAGTGATTATTGTAAGCTTGGAGCACCTGTCATCTGAGTTATGGCAGATCATAGGAAAGCTTTCAACTATTTTTTGGTTTATTGAGCCATTTATCAATTTACAGTTGAAATTACAGCTAGTTATGTAATATCATTGAAATTTTCTGTAATAGTAATGGGAAAGGTGCCTTTAGCATCATTCAATATGGAGGTAAGCATCACCAGGTATTTGAATCACACAAAACAAGTTTTTGAAATTGTCAGTATTTTTTTAACTCCTTTAAAATGAACCATTATGAAATGCATCATTATTGTTGTTGATGTTAATATTATAATCTTTGTAGTGCTAATGAATTCCTTAGGTCACTCGCTGTTGTCCTTTTGATTGTTCAGAAAAGCAGGCAGTTGCACTCATGCACAGTGCATATACAGCTTAGTCTGAAACTTTGGGTAATGCTATTGCACTCCAGTAAAAGAGTGCTTCCTAAACACTCATTACATATAGTTATTAATCTAAATTTTCTCCTACCATTACTTCTTTTCTATGGATCTCTCTGCTTATAAAATATAAAAATCTATTTTGTTTTCTTTTGTTATATTTAACAGGCAGCCTCTCTGGGATTGCTGCAGTATCCCATTCTTAATGCTTCTTTGGATGAGAACTGTCAAAATGTCACATATAAGGTTTGTAAACTATGGATAAATGTTGAAAGCAGAAAGTGTAAAGTAAAGTCTAACAGGGGCTTTTCAGAATGTCTGAGCTAATTGTAACAACCAAGAATTATGCTGTTGTGCAGGAAAATAATTTGTGTGTTCAGATTCTGAGGCCTAGATTTGATTTATTGTTGGTCTTATTTCAGTAGTTTGTTAGATAAGAGTCACTTTTTTATTCAGACTTGCCTCAAAAATGCATATTAATATCTTAATTTCCTATTTTTCATCTGAATATGGGCCAAGCTTTTAAAATGAGTACATTTCAAACCTAATACAACAATTTTTAAGTAACGGCACGGTGATTCAACTCTTCCAATACTCCAACCTTATATATTAAAGTTTATTCTTGATAAAGGTTACATAATTTTTATAAAAGCTGTTGGATTGATACTTCTGAGAAGCAAGTGTCTATTTTCTTACCTGATGTGCATTTGCTCCTTCCAGTACAAACTTTTTTTTGTGCTGTTTTATAAATATCTCTCAGAATCCTTTTATATTCCTTCCAAAAAACAAAAAGCAGGTGATCTCAGTGATGTGGTTGGTAGCTAAGTTCATCTCTAATAGAAATGGAACATGGAGTCTCCCTTTGTTGCAGAGAAACTGTATAGCTCACGATTGAAAAGTTTGTGGTGTTTTTGGATGACTATGCACACACCAAATTTCTTTTTTTTTTCTTTTTTTTCTTATTTTTTTTTAGTTGCAGTGCTCTCTTTAAAATCTGCAGTTTATATTTTGTTACACATATGATCATCCTAAAGTGCAATGTTTTCAGTGTGAAGTTGATTCCAGGACTTTGTATTCTCTGAAGGTGAAATTTTCAACGTCAATTTACAGTTTGCAGGTGTGATGCTAATTTAAAGAAAAATGACATCCTTTTCTCCCCTTAAAGTTGTATGCAGGAGTTGCTAATGAAATACAGCACTTTCCAGGTTAAAAAGATAAATAAGGAAAATGTGATTGAAGTGGCCTTTTATGTAAAATACATTTTGTGTTGACAGCTTATATTAATATCTGGTTAATGACACTTGTTGCAGGCTTCACACAACATTGGAGTTGCAATGGACACAGAGCAAGGTTTAATTGTCCCTAACGTGAAAAATGTTCAAGTCTGCAGTGTGTTTGACATTGCTGTGGAATTAAATCGCCTCCAGTCCTTGGGCTCTGCAGGCCAGCTGGGAACAAGTGACCTCACTGGGGGAACATTCACCCTTTCAAATATTGGCACAGTAAGTACAGGGAAAATGGGAGCTGCTTCTGAAATCTGCTTCTGAAATGCAAACTTTACTGAAGTTTAATATGTGAAGAACAAAATCTGTAGCAATTAATTTAAGAGGCAATCTGTTTAAAATAAGCTGTTAAATAATATCCCCACTTTTTTCTTTTGTAGATTGGTGGCACTTATGCCAAACCAGTTATACTACCTCCTGAAGTAGCTATTGGAGCACTTGGAAAGATACAGGTATATTAACTTTACCTCAAGTGATGAGAGTGTTAGCTAAGGTCATCTGTAAAGCAAATTGAACATGGACAACAACTTTGTTGCAGAGAAGATGCATAGCTCATGACTGAAAAGGCTGGGATGTTTTTAGATGACTGTGCACACACCAAATCTTTAATTAGATGTCTCTTACACCATAAGTTCATATTTATTTTCCAGAATCCTGTTCTATTTCCCTCACATCCATGTTTAGCCTTCTGGTTAATAAGAAACAATGTAAATACAGTTTTACAAGTTTTGCAACATGGCAATACCAATTTTACTATCAGCAGGGAGGAAACATGAGAAGTATTCTGAAAATGAAGTTTAATTTCATGAGCCAGGTAGCTGAAATCTATGTAGAATTTTGAATGTGAAGGCAGTTTTATATTTTCTGAATCTCAGGCTTTAATTCTTTAATATAGATATTTGAGCTCAATGCTGAAAATGAAATTAGTATTAACTGAAATTCTATGTTCTTCCTCTGAGCATTTCTTTTCAGAGATGCTTTAAGGAAACTACCACTTTGAGAACTAAAAGTGCAATAAACTATTCAGGAAGAAACTTTTGAGTCAGGAAAGGCTTTTACTACTTCAGTATTTCCATGATGGTGGAAGCAGGCTATGACTGTTTATTATGCAGGCTTGCAATATATTCTAATCCACAGCACAAACAGTAATGGAAAGGTCTTGGTTTTTAGCATGGTGCTACTGCTGTCTGTCTAATTCAGCAAAATGCTTTAATTTAGATCAGCAAATTTGCAAGAAAAAAAAATATGCAGATTTTCTAATGAAAGTATTTAATAATTCTGGTTTTGTCCTTCCTCTGATTTTTAGGTTCTTCCTCGATTTAATGGCAAAGGTGAAGTATTTAAAGCACAAATAATGAATGTGAGTTGGTCAGCTGATCATCGCATCATTGATGGAGCTACAATGGCCCGGTTTTCGAACTTGTGGAAATCTTACTTGGAGAACCCTGCTTCGATGCTGCTAGACCTTAAATAAAGGAAACCATGGCTAGAATATGCCTTTAAACTCTGTGGATTAGACTGAATAGTTATAAAAGCTGTCTCTGCTAACATGTGCCCTTTGCTACGTGCATTATATAATAATGTTATGTGGTTGGAAGTTCTCAACAGCTGAGATCAGTCTCAATTAGTTGTTACTTCTTTCATTTAGTATTGCTGTAATTTCCTCTACAGCAGACTGTCAAACTGAATAGGTCACAGCTTCTGAATATGGTGGTGGAATGTCTTTATTTTGCCTTTTACAATAAGAATGATTGTCAGGCTGGTATGACTGAGTGCCACTGCTCTACACCTGCAGTATTTATAATCTGAAGGAAAATTTTGGAGGGGAATACTCACAGTTCTTCCATTTTGGACACGTAAATTTATTTTAACAAAAAATATCTGAATTCCTTAAAGGGATTGTGCAAAAATCATATACAAATAAAATGCCTTTAATGCTTCTGCTGTAAGATGTCCAGAGAGCTTTTTGTTGTTTAACTGAGTAAACCTCTTAAGTCTTTTGCTTTCAGCCCTTAATGCTTTCCAGTTATTTTTGATTCTTATAGAAAGCATCTGCCTGTTAAAACCAAATGAGAAAAAAGAGAAAAAATAAAAAAGAAGGGTCTTGTTTTATTCTGCCATTAGGTAAGCCTGACAGTAAGCTGATCGTGATCTAAAAGCTTGCATTCTGTTGTTGATATTCAGATACTAGAATCTGATAGATTAATCAGATTCAACAAAGAATGAATATTTTAAAATACTGTGAGATAAAGACTTCTTAAACTCAGATACAAGGCACATAATGAATCAGTTCAAGTTAATGTCTTTAGAACAGAAAACTTATGTGGCTTTAAGGTAAACTAAACAGATCATGAGAATTGCACTGCTGATTTAATGGGAGATATGAAGAAAACTGTTGTATATGAATACCTTCTAAACACATAAGTTTCACACAAACATGAGAAAACACATTTACATAGCCTTAAATATGAATTTGTAATGCACAAAATGGACATTTTCTCCTTTTTTTAGATATATCAAAAGCAGGAGCATTCTTCAAAATTGTAGACCAAAGTTGTCTATTGCATTTAGCCATGAAGATGTGAGACAGGCTACCAGAGGTAGAATCCCTGCTGTCTATAATGCTGAAACTGAGTAAGAGGAAAGCTGGTAATGTATGAAGGGGAGTGTGGCGCATCCATGTAAGGTGCTATTAATATTTCTATTGTGGTATAAGGGTCTTTTATATAAAGGTCATTTCTTGCAAAGTTTGACTAATATATCATGCTTATCACCTATTTCATTTTTATCAGATTTATTTATTCCTAATAAAAAATATAAAGCCACAAAGTATTGTTTTTATTTGTGAATTTTATGCAGGCAATCCTGTACAGGTGACTGAAACTCTTTCTTCATGCCTTAAAGAACATACTGTACTCAAGGCTACCAAAAGAACACAGCCTAATGTCTACTTTCCTACAAGTATATTATTGGTAAGGGCTCAGTCTAAAGGCTAAGGATATTTTTTGATTTAATGACCACTGAGAAAATAAATTGAGGAAATAGAAATATATGAAAGAAAGTAATAAAATTACTTTGAAATACTTAGGGTAGGAGAAGATTAAGACAAAAGGAGAAGATAGAAAGCTAAAGTACTTAGTGTCTTTTAAAGTAGGTATTGGTACTCATGTATTTAGTTTTTTGTGGACTGGAGAGGGTTGGGGTTTTTTTGTTATAAAGTTCTGTGTGGTAGAGTTATAACCAAATTAATGATACTTTTAAAATTTCATCTTCACATTTTGTACTCCAGTGCAATTGGTTAGAACTATCCAGTTTTATGGCTTCTGCCTCAAATAGTGACTTGTGATAATTGTTGTTTCTCTCTTCCCATTTGATTGAAGAAAAAGATACCGACAGACTTGTTCTCCTTTTATCCTCCCCAAGGGCTATTTGAAGAAATAGAATGTTAAATATGTTTCATGATTGGAACCATGAAAAGGGGTGAGTAATAACCCCTCTGCACATCTTGGTAAAGATTGCTTTTCTGTCTGGACTTCGATAATTTGCAGTAAAATTCTTTAGCAAGAGAATTCTTCAGCACGGGCAAAAGTAATGAGTAAAATACTTAGTGATGTAATACCTTTTCTAGTCTGTTTGGTCAAAGTTGCTGTTTAATAGCACTTTGAAGCTCAGTTACTTTGCAGAGAAACATTACTAAAGAAAGCAGTTATTTTTAATTCAATACTGACCTTTTTGTTTCTAATTTTCATTTTTAATGTAAAACAAATTTATTGTGTAGCATAACAAGTATTCCTTTGTTCTTCTTGTTCACAATTTCTGTTAATGGGAGTCCAATTTAGGGTCCATTCACACTCAGCAAACTGGGAAGATTTAACAGTGGTAAATACTTGGGGGGATTGCAAAAGTGCCTCATGTGATGCCTTCTATTCTCAGCATAGGTTAAAATTAGAACTAGACTGACATTGCATTGGAGTCTGAGTGAGAGTTTTAAATGGCTTTGGTAATGCAGACAAGATTCATAATTTATCTCTGCTCTTGTCCAGAAAGCAATGAGTCACAGAAAATCCTTGAAAACACCAAATAATTGAGGTAAGTTGTTGTTAAACTCTTTCTGATGCTTGGAGGTGAAGTTGTTGGGAGATATGATTACTTGAGAGTGAATTTGCAGTAGTTTTAGAGCCATGCTTGGGAATTCACTTCTGAATTGTTGGCTGTGATGGCAAGATTATTTTGGTTTTTATTTTCTTGACAAATCATAAGATCTAAGAAGAAGACCTTTTTGATGGATTATATAACTGTAATGAAATTATCATGAAAGTAGTCATATACTTAGATCCTTTGATATTTCATGGTTCTAAGGAAGTACTTGTTGAATAATATGCAGAAGATAGTTGCCCAGAGTAAGCTTTACTAGAAATAAGAATTAGTTTGACTATATATATAGTATGACACTGGGTTTGGTAGTACAACTATTAACAAATGTCTCTTTTATGCACAATTTATATAAAAAAGATTTCTAGTTTTCTGCCTAAAACAGCTTGTAGTTCAAAAAATGTCTCTAAACAACAAGAAATGATAGATTAGTTAATCACTTGGTCTCAATAGAAATTTAATCTTGAAAAAATCAGACAATTTGAACTGTAACCACTGACAAGAGCAAAAAAACCTCATGCATACCTAGCATTACTGTTGCATATTGGGGATGGGGATTGGGAAGGATAGGTACTCTGATGACCACTGAAAGAGAAGCTAATCCTTCAAACTAGTAAATGTGATCACATTTATGTGGGGGAGGGGAAAAGTATACAGACCTCTCTTTACAGGAAAAAATCCAGTCTCTCTCTAGGAATCCAAAGGCCAGACTGCACTGTGCCACACTGGGGTTGCCATTTGTGTCACTTATCAAATCCTACCATTTTTCCTTAACAAACAGAGAACACATAAGAATCATAAATATAAATATATTAGGCCAGATTCTTTTTATTCAAGCTTTATAATTCAATTTTGTGCTGTCTTTACAACAGGAGGCAATCCTGACATTTTATATTTTATTTGCCTACACTTTTAACTTGATTTCAGTATAAACAGACTTTACAAATTAGTATGTTAGCAAAAGACATAGTAAACATTAAATAGAATGATTGACAGTTTGAACACAAAAATGGTCACTAAGCAATTGTGGCTTATCCAGGCCACACTAAATTATAATAGAAAAAATATGAAAAAAAATAAATTCTAAAAGACGGACCTGCAGCAATTATTGTAGGGAAATATATGTATGAAAAGACATAAAATTCCTCTTTTATTGTTACCTATTCTCTTGTTTGGAAGAAAGTTATTTTTTTTAGTTTGAAACAGACATAGGCTATTTTTCTTACTTGCCACTACAAGTATCAGTGAAAAGTTAGAAAGGGAGCATTCAGATCATCAGTGTTCAGAGTACACTGCTGCTGGCATGAAGTTTAGCCCTGCAAGCTTCTCTGAATATCAGTATTTTAGCTCCAGTAATGGCAATAAGAATATTAGAGGGATGCACTGATTAAGATGAGTGAGTATCCTCTTTTGCTGCTCTTCAGGACAATATGTATTCATCATCTCACTAAAGAATAGATAATTTCAAATTTTTAGACTGAAATTAATTTTAGATGTGAATTCTGACACTAAATAGGGATACACAAACATTCAAAGAGAAATCAGAAGGATATAAATGCATTTTCCCAAAGGTAATGCATTATTAACTATAAAATACATTATAATGTATTTTATAATAAGTTAAGCTATGAAGAATGAGTTTTAGTATAATGAGTTAAGCTATGAAGAAAATGAATGCACTTAAAGTATACTAATTAATTTCCAGGAATACTTCAGTGTTTGTAAAGTGCAAAACTCCTTCAGTGACAAGTATTTATATCAGGTAGGTACCAGAATGCAGCTGTCTGAATTGAACTGCCTTAGATTGCAGGTAACAGCTTCGTTTCTTCCTGGGATGGGAATGAATGCTCAAGTCTGCATTTAATAGTTATGGTCAATACTTAGCCTGCCTTTGGAAGGAGCTGAGAGAAGCAGTTGGTCACTGAATAAGAATGCAGAGACTGCATAGTATCATTTCTTATTTTAATAAAATTTAACTAGGTGCGATTATCTATTTTTATAAAGAGAAAGCAGTTGATAAAATCCTGTCAGTTCTTTACATTAACTAATTTAATAACATAATGAAGTGAGTATTGCAAGACACTCTGGGAAGTGAGAATACACAAGATAAATGAAGAATTACAGAAAGAAAAGGAATTCAGGCAGAGGTCTGCAGGAAGGTAGGTAAATTGTAGCTCTTTAAGTATTTGAAAAGCTAAACCATATGAAACATTTCCGAAGACTGTAATAATTCTTGTTTAGGACCCCTTTGGAAATCAAGCTAAAAGAAGCTGATTGACCTATTTTCTTGCACTTATATGTGGTGGAATGGAAGACTTTCATTTTAGGAGACTGCTTCAAAATGTGATTTGGAACGTAATTCCACATGACGCTGTATTCTGTGGCCCTGCTGTAACATGTTGAATGTATCCTCCTTCTGAATGTAAATTTGAAGAACTGTAAAATAGAATTCCTATAAATTACCTCAGCCAAACATTAAGGGCTTCTCTCCTTAGAAGTGTAGTATATAATATATAGTATATAGCTATAGTGTAACTACTATAGCTATAACTATAGTATATTATATACTATAATAGTATCATATGATAGTATATTATATGATAGTATATTAACATCCAGATATAATTAATATTATTTGGCAATAAGGAAATGGTCTCTTTTTCCAGAAAATAGATAGGATAGGAATTATTGGCTGTATTCATTGTGGCACCACTGGCAGATCTTCTTTCCCTTGTAGGCTACTTCTTGTCTGGGAGGAGAGAGCTGCTTTAGCAAAGCTCAAAGAAAAAGTTATTAATGAAGGTGGAAGAGCAATTTTAAGGATAGAGGAAGAAGAATGGAAGGTAGTGTTGATAGGAATAAATGTTGCTTGTGTTGAATGACTGATGCATTAGAAAACTGCTATTTACAACT